CATTTCTCTGAAGATATTCAAATGACCAACAGGTACATAAAAAGGTGCTCAACATCACTCATCAGGGAAACACAAATTACAACTAGAAGGAGATCTCCCTTCATACCTATCAGAGTGTTTAGCATCAAAAACATAAGAGATAACAAATGCTAGTGAAGATGTGAAGAAAAGGGAATCCTCATACACTGCTGGTGGGAATGTAAGCCGATGCAGCCACTATAGAGAATAGTGTGCAGGTTCCTCAAAAAATTAAAATTAGAACTCCCCTATGAACTAGCAATTCCACATCTGAGTATGTATCCAAAGGCAACAACAATGAAAATCACTCTCTTGAAAATGTTATCTGCACCCTGGTGTTCATTGCAGCATTTATAATAACCAAGACCTGGAAACAACCCAAGTGTCCAGGACTAAGAAAATATGATTCACACACACACACACACACACACACACACACGTTATTCAGCCTAAAAGGAAGAATTAAGTACTGCTATTTGTGACCACACAGATGGACCTTGAGAACCTAACGCTAAGTGACAGAAGTCATATTGAGAAAGGCAAATACTGTATGACCTCACTTCTTATATGTGCAATCTATAAAAACAAAACAAAGCCCAAACTCATAGATACAGAGAATAAATTGGTGACTGACAGAGGTGGGAAGGAGGGTTGGGGAAATTAGTGATTAGTGAAGGTGATTAAAAGATACAAACTTCCAGTTATAAATAAGTTCTAGGGCTATAATGTACAACATGATAAGTATGGTTAACAAATTGTCTATTTCAAGGTTGCTGACAGATTTAAATGTTTTTATCACAAGGAAAAAAATTACAATTATATGAGGTGAGGAATGTTAATTACATTTGTAACAATTTCACCATATATCAAATCATTTTGTTATAAATCTTAAACTTACACAATGCTAGGTGTCAATCATATCTCAATAAAGCTGGATAAAAAAACACCTGAAAAGTATCTCTTGGAAACATAATCACCACAAGAAACAGAGCCCCTATATGCCAGGGTCTGTGGGAGGGTGGAGACCCAACTTTGATAACTGTGGATTAGTCAGCACAGATGGCAGTAACCACATGACCATCCCCCCTCCTCCAACATCCTCCAGTGCTTTTCTACTAGCTCACCCCAGTGCTTCACAACTCTCTTGTCTTTTGTTGCAGGGGAGTTGAATTTTCTCTCTCTCTGCTACTACAAGGGCCTTAAGGTAAGTCTTCCTTACCTATTTAATTCCTTCTTGCAGTTTTTCTTTGCTAAGCACCGCCTATATTCTAGGTGATATGCCATAAACTCAGACCTTGGATCTACTCAGGTAAATAATTAAGCAAATATAAATGAGTGTGATCAGTGCAGTATTCACACATTTACAAACTTGCTATAAAAAAGCAGCAAAGACAGGGTCTCCCCCTCAACCCCCACTCTCTGGAGTAGGAGGGATGTTAGGAAGTTACAGATTAGAAGACAAAGCTGAACCATGAAGGAATTATGGAAAAAAGCTTCATCATATGAGGGGAATTTACCAAGACAATACAGCATGAATGACAACATGGGGGTGCAGCAGGATTCTCCCACAGAGGGACAGAACACCGAGGCCTTTCTTTCCAGGAAGCAGCTTTATACTTGCCAGTACAGGCTCAGTGGGCTAAGACCCCAAAAGGCTGAGCCCCTAGCAGAGTGGGGTATAACCTTTTATGCAATTTCTACTTGTTTGTCTTTCATATATGGTGACACATTTAGTCTGATCGGACACGGTCCAAGTTACAGAGTGTGTCAGAGCTACGCATACGTATATAGGAGTTGATTGGGTCACCTTGCTGTTCTTTGTTCTGAGAAGGCTTCCACTGCATTCCTTAGGGAGGGGCTCTACCTCTGCCACAGGGGCACCGAACACAGAGATCATGATATTTGGGGAATAAGAGGTCAAGAGTCGCTGTAACATAGTGTCAGCATGTTGGTGAACCAAAGAGTGAGATCTTGTTGGGGTGGCTGGTAGACCGACCGCAATTTATGAAAATTTAAGTAATCCCAAGTAGTCTGGATGCCAGGAATTGTAAAGGGAATAGAATTAGATCAAACGTGATGAAATACAGGTATCTGAATATTCCTCTGCTAGCAGTGTAAAGGTTTATTGCTGGTACACTGCATCTTCATTAGGATGTGGGTGGGAGAAAGCCCTCACTTTGTAGGGCTTACAGATTTCCCTGATGTCAACACTCCCACTGTGGCTGATTTCAAGCTGCCAAATGTTTAATAACCAGATTTCAGATCTTCCTTACTATTTAACAATTGTGTTCTCATGAGCCAGTGCAGTCCGTGCTAGAATACCACTGGTGTCAGGGGAAGAGAATGGGCTTTGTCTAGGTGAAATAGAGGAGAATATGGACTCGTAAAGCAGCTGTGTTTATGGATAGGAGGAAATTAATTAGGGGCATTATAGAAGTGAAGCTAAGGGTCCACTAAGAGGTGTTAATCACATTATAAGCAGTCTTTTCCCTAAGGGCCTTTTAAACAGGCAACTACTTAAAAGTCAAATAATGCACATCAGAGGTCAAGTAATGCACCCATGGTCACCTACTTTCTCAGTGTCAAAGCCTGGATTTAAACCCAGTCTGGCGCATTCCAAAATCCTACACAAGGTTGAGGGGTTTGACTCAGGTTCACCTGGAAAATGAACCTAACTGGATTGTTCTAACAATTAACATACTATATATTCAAAACACCTAAAACAACACCTGATATCTTTAAACATTTATGAAAGGGCAGCTAGCATTAATATTGTAATTATCATTATTCTGGTCTTGCCACAACCAACATGTTTAGTTGAAGGTGTCAGGACAGTGACACAACAATACATCAGAAGGTGTTAATACAGAAAGCAATTTTCTGTGCTTAAGAGGTTTACAAGCTGGGGAGAATAGTACATTTAAAGTGAGGTGGGTTTTGAATTTTATTTGTTAATCCTCTCTGCTCCAAGTATAAACTAAATCTTACAAAAACAAATCTACTTAAATTGGAAGATCAGCTTCTTTTCTATCATCACAGTGGAATAGGCTTGACTGGTAATGGTCAGCTCATCACATTCCCTCAGCTTAAAAGCTAAGCTAATGGCCCTGTAAACAAACATTGTTCCTTTTATTGTCCTGCTAAAATCAGAAGAATTGAGTTTTGAATTATTCAGGTAATGTTCATAATCCTCAAGTAACTGAAAACTCTGTGTCCCATGGAATATTTCCGACAGGAGAAAGACACCAACGCCCAGCCCAGCTTTGACCACTGGAAATTATATAACCTGTTGTCTATGTCACACACCACTGAGTTTAGCATCTGGGCAACGAGTTAGCTGCACCGCGGGTGAGATAAACCTTTTAATCTATGTACAAAGTAAGAATCTTTTTGGCCACAGCTTTATAACCTCTGGTGCTTTGGACCTACAAATAAATCACTCATAAAATAGAAAATCTGGCAGAAAATTTGGGACACTAAAATAGCCTGCAAATTATTTAATTTTAGAAATTCAATAACTGCTATCAAACACACATGATGAAGATGAATGTATCTCTTGCAATTTTCACAGTTTGGCACACCAGAGAATACCTGCAAGGCAAGGTCACCAGAGCTGGGATTGTGTTCACGCTTTTGAAATTAAGTCCTTCATAAAGAAAATATCTTCACTCAAAATTGAAACATACATTCACAAACAAGAATCAACACTCAATAAAGTACTGCTTCTGACTGAACAATTCCTGATAGAAATCAATGCAAGTCAATGCCAAAAGAACGCGTGTCACGTTACTTACTGCAGAAAAATTGCCATGTTATGTAATTACATTCTTTTTATATTCACTAGTTTTGTTTAATGTTTATTATTATTTATCACCCTAAGTTTCAGCCTTGGCATACACATTCTCACTGTGAAAGCAGTGACTCATTTGTTATTTTGTTCTGACCAAAAATAAACATACTACAGATTTGCAATAAAAATTATAACTGTTTTGCATGCTAGCATGAAAGGGATGTTTGCAACCAAAGCATGATGTTCCAAAAAAAATTATTTAAATTCTGGCACAGAGGGCAAGTTGAATTTCTTTTCTCAGCAAAGTCTCAAGTGGAAAACAAATATTTGCCCTATCTCTGGAGTGAACTTTGATTCTGTTCGTTTAAAAGGAAAGGGGAGTCACATGATGAGAATTATGTGAAGTAAAATTTTATATGGCATCCGTGTGAAATCTTTTCCCCCTTAACCACCCCCAATTGAAATTTTAATTCAAATCCGTGGAGGTGAACTGCCAGTTGGCCTCACACCCTCTGTGGCATGACTCTTGAATCTACTTTTTCGATTTTTGTGCATCCCTTATGGAGGGGATTGTGATGAAGAGATATTTTAAATACAGCACGCTAACAAAAAGTTTTAGGGGTAGTGAGGTCAACAGATCAGGAAAACAACTGCTATTGAAAATAATAATAAAACAGTACTCACAGTTGCCAAGAGGAGAGGGCACAGCATGCCACAGGAAGCCCCACGGATGAGCAGGGAGGGGGAGGTCTGCCAGGGGGGCCGAGGTAGGGAGAGGAGCTGTGGGCAGGGGTCTTTATTGTGGTTTCCACGGATAAGCACAGGTGAGGCAGGGCAAGCAGATTTAGCACTGGCTAGTTTGATATTTTCACTGGGCCCCGGGACCCTCGTTCTCTGGTACCGAGCCTTGGGGCTCATTAAGGCAGCTGTGTAATGGCCTGGAGTACAAGAGCCCAACTGGTTAGTCATATGGACTCTGCATTGGTTGGTCTGTCTTTGAAAAATACATCCTTAGGAGGAGGACTCCTCCTGAGAACGGGGCGGGGAAGGCAGAAGGACAAGGCAAAGTGATTCAAACATATTATCCACTTTTCCAGAATGAGGCAGGTCCAGCACATGCATGCAGGGCAGCTATTAAATGGGGAAATTTACAAAAGCTACAAACACGGTAAATACAAGAGGGATGACTTACTGTCGTACAACCGAAGCCTACGACACACGTACAGGGTGCAGTGGGCAGACCACGTTGATTCCTGTCACAGGGCTGTTGAACCAACACTGCTTGAGATCAGCTGCTAAGGGATCACAGCTTTCTCCTCTGGAGATGTGCTCTCAGCCAGTGATGCTCAGACTTTGCTGTGTATCAGAATCACCTGAGGAGCTTGTTAAAACTACAGATCACTCGGCCCCACCCCCAGAGTTTCTGATTCAGCAGGTCTGGGCTGAGGTCCAAGAAACTATCATTTCTAACGAGTTCCCTGGTGATGCTGATGTGCTGGTCTGGGGACCGTACATTGAGAACAACTGCTCTAAACTGACAGGAGTCACCTCCACTGGGGATTATACCCTCCAGAGTCAAGGAATGACTGATAGGGAGTGTAAAAGTCCAGCTAACTTGCCTCAGATCAGGATAATTCTGTGCTGCGATCCATGCTCCAGAGCTCTACATGAGAAAAGCCTGTGGCAGCTTACTCTGTATTTTTACCAGGTGTCTTGCCCCACCCAGAGCTGTTTCCCTCAGTCCCTTAAAGGTTTCTCCTTAGTAAACCATGGACGCAACACATACCACTCAGTTTTTGTTTTTAGGATACCCAACTTAAGAAAACAGATTTCTACACAAACTATCTATTACCAAAACTTCATCTAAGAATTATTTTATCATTTTAAAATTTGTTTATCCTCAATATTCTTATTGATCCTTAAACACAGCAATGGTTTTTGATGGTGGTCAGTAGTAGTCAAAATCCTCAGAAGGATGGAAAGTGTAAATAATGGAAAAAAATGGAGGTAATTGGGGATATTTGTAGAATAGAAAACAAAAGGGAGATTAGTTACCCTTGTCAAGAATATCCAGGATCTACTTACTGATGGCATTTTTTTTTTTCTTTTTTAACAAGGTGAATTAAAAAGAAATGATTCTACCTTCTGGCATTTTACACTATAAGGGATTGCCTGAAAATGAATTTGCATTTTTGGGAGGGGATGAATTCACACACTGAGTATTAGGGGCAATAGTTTGATATCTAAACTAACTCCCCACAGTTGATTTATTTCAATTAATAAAATGTAATTAAATTATATGCATGAAAGAATAAATGAATTAATATACACTTAATAATCTAAATATATCAGATATCGGGCTACCCATTTTCTCCTATACCATTTATTTCATCCTTACGATTAAGGACTCTGAACAAGTTTTCAGAAAACAAAGAAATTTGGTGTATTTTTAAAAGATAAAGCAGAGAAAGAGCACAGACCCACTTAGTGTTGCTATTTTCCTGTCAATAATATAATGCTGTTAATACTGTTAACTGATTCTAATGAAGTAATATATGATTAGTGTCCTAATTAGTGTTACGGATGCATGAATAATTAATGTCATGCTTACCAATGATTTCAGCAAAACAGTGCAAAATGTGGGACTACCTCTCCCTCACCCTCTTTCAAACTTTTGAACAAAACTTACTAAATTTAATTCCAACTCCAGAAGAAAAAAGGACAAGTATTTTTTACCTCTACTTGCTTATCAGAAGCTAAAACATATGATGGATGAGGTGGAATAGTGAGAAAGAATTGGAGTAGATATTTCTTAAATTACTACTGAGGACAATTCATGCAATGAATTTATGCAGTTCAGGCACCAACCTGTGTTCCAAGGCTATGGTTTAAGAAAAATAGTTTTGGTCTCATCAGACTGTTTTAAGATGCAGCATGTTGTAGTAGAATGAGTCCAATATCGTGTGTTCAAATTCATGTTTTCCCACTATTTTCTGTTTTATCTAAATCAAGTTATGATTGTTCTGGATCTCAATTTCTTTATCTCTAAGTTGGTGATGTTAATGCCCATCTCGATAGTATGTTGCGAAGATAAAGTAATATATGTAGAGTTTTATACATCATAGCCAAAATATCACAGGTTCACAATTTCCCCTACTTTTAATTTTGTCTATGGCCTCTTCTTTTAATCAACACATAATATGTGCTCCAGTCAAGCTAAACTACTATTATCTATAAACAAATCCTGTAGGATCTAGCCCTTCTACCTCTTTACACCTCATGCAATTCACCTTAATTGCTGTTCTATTTTTCCTAGCCTTTGTAAACTAGTGTCCACAGTTCTCTAATGCAGTGTGGTTTATTCCTCCTACGAATATCCAAGGATACATCTTACATGGAATTTGGCCCATTTTGCCATGTATTACTCTTGTACACACGTTATATCTTTGATGTTATTGAGTGCCGTGTTTTATTCTACCTTTTACAAGGGTGCCCTTTGTATACGTCCCTGTAGAAATAATGACATGAAAAAGCATGATAACTATGTTAGCGGTTGTCTGTTTGCCTCCCACACTATATCATAAGCTCTTGGAAAGGACTATGCATTTCTTCTATTTCTATGTTCTCTATTTCTCTACATATTCCTCTACATACTCTGTGTCTCTCTGCATTTCACCTCAGTAGTGCACTTGCATTGGTACTTCCACTTTTGCAACCATATGGAAGTTCCATTGTAGAGGCATATATATCCAAGTCAATGTTTCATCTTGACAAATTTAGTGGAAGTTTTAATATGTTCAATAATTTAATGGCTAAAATCGGTAGCTACTAATCTGAAGAAGGGACATTTGATACATACATGATGGGAGAGCTCCTATTGTGTTTGATTTTCTCTGTGAGACAATCACAGGTCCAGAGGCCATTAGATCCTAAGGGACCTGGAATCTCCAAGAAGTAACTCACAAGTCATAATCAGGTGGAGTTAAAAGTACCTACCATGTCATTGGAGTCAGAGCTTCCAGGACCCCTCCTCTTAGATGGTGACTGTCCTATCTTCCTCCTGAATTTCCTCAACCTCTGTAGCTACTCTTGCTGATTTATGCTTAGTGGATCTGACTCTACTTCCCAGTATTACTCATCATGATGTGTTATCCTCATTTGGACCTCCTGATCGCTTTATGTTTTACTCCAGAGTGAGACTGGTGTGATTTTGACCCTATACTGATACCTAATATCAGACTGCTTTCCATTCATCTTTTTTAGTACTGCCCATTGTCTGACTGCTGAATCCTTCCTAGCATTACAACCAAATGTAATCTTTTTTTTTTTTTCTGTGAAAACAACCCTGTAAAAATATGGACATAGAATATTCCCCTCCACCTTTTTCCCCAGACATAGCAGAACTTCTGACTTATTTGGGTCCTCCTCATCATCTTGCCACTGAGGCTTATTAATTTTGTGTTCGATGTCAGGAAAGAGAGGTGCACAAACCACACTGAGAAACCACCTCACACCTGTCAGAATGGCTAAAATGAACAACTCAGGCAACAACAGATGTTGGCAAGGATGCAGAAAAAGGGCAACACTTTTGCACTGCTGGTGGGAATGCAAACTGGTGCAGCCACTCTGGAAAACAGTATGGAGGTTCCTTAAAAAATTAAAAATACAACTAACTTAATCCCAGCAATTGCACTACTAGGTATTTATCCAAAGGATAAAAAAATACTGATTCAAATGGGCACATGCATCCCAATTTTGATAGCAGCACTATCGACAATACCCAAATTATGGAAAGAGCACAAATGATTATCAACTGACAAATGGATAAAGAAGATGTGGTGTGTTATATATAAATATACACACACATAACGCAATATTAATCAGTGGTCAAAAATAATGAAATCTTGTCATTTGCAACAAGGTGGATGGAACTAGATTGTATTATGCTAAGTGAAATAAGTCAGAGAAACATAAATATATGATTTGACTTTTATGTAGAATTTAAGAAACAAAACCGAGGAACATAGAGGAAGGGAAGGAAAAATAAAAACAGAGAGGAAGACAAACCATAAGAGACTCTTGAATGCAGAGAACCAACTGGGGATTGCTGGAGGGATATCGGCTGGTGGGATGAGCTAAATGGGTGATGGGCATCAGGGAAGGCACTTGGGATGAGCAGTGGGTGTTGTATGTAAGTGGTGGGTCACTAAATTCTACTCCTGAAATCATTATTACACTATATGTTAACTAACTTGGATTTAAATGAATGAATGAATGAATGAATGAATGAATAAATAAATAATAAATAAAAAGAGGGGTGTGTTTTTCCATAGACATCTCAAGGAATAGGGACTCTACAGGCCTCCCCAGTTCCTCAAGGCATATAACTTTCGGAACCAATTCACAGGCAAAACCTGAATCTGAATCTGCCATATAGAGCCAGGAAGAAACATCTGGATGAATGTTTTGAAGACATACAAACTATAGCTATGTGTTTCAGGAATCACTCATAAAGAAGGCATAGGCAATGTTGTCTCTAGCAAGCAGAGTAATGTAATTATGACACCTCTAACAACACTTAGACATAAATATTCAACCTATGTGGACAGGTAATAGATCACAACTTTTGGCAGAAACAAAAGCAGAAAGTACATTTGTTTGGTTTTCAGTGATATGAAATACCAGATTTTTTTCAAAATTTTGGACTCCCAAAGAATATGTGTTGCACTGCTGGGGAGTATGCTGAAAATAAGTTTTCACCGGGGTAACTAGAGAGTTGAGAAATGTAACCAGATGTTTCAAGCAAAAGAACATCAATCCAGTCAGAGATAATATGTTGGTGGGTTATGTCAACATGAGCTATAATGAGGCCAAGACCAAGGCCATGCCCATGGAAAAACCATCAGGGATGAGAAACAGTGATGAGCAGGAGATGACTGTATACTGATCCGTGCTAAATTGCATAACCTTTTTCAGAGAATAAATCTGGGCATGCAAGAAAAACATCACCAAATCAAACAAAAATCCTCTTAGACACCTCCACACTCCAGCCTCAACAAAGTGGCCAATTTCCAATTGTTGGATATTGGATAAGCATGACTCCAAGTGTTCTGCATGGTTGTACTTCCATTGTTCTGCTGAGCTTTGACTTTGTAGACAGATTGTCTGGGTCTCATTTGAACCTATAGGTCTTTTAATAAACATGTACATTCCACTCTCTGAAATGCAAATCACTTTCATGATCACTGGGGAAACGTGAACTGCAAGCTATTTTTCTATTTTATCTCATTAGCAAGAATTCATTTTCCCTTTAGATATAAATATGATGTTTGGGTAAAAAAATACAGGATTCTGTGAGATACATATTTTTAAGTTATATTTGCATTATAGTTATTTTAAA